CCTTTGGACCGGGGTCCCTGCGCCGAGAAGCTTCTAGTCTGGGGGAACACTGATGAGAAGGCCGAGAGAGAAAAAGGCTTCCCCTGGAGCTGACGCCCTGGATTTGGACTTTTAGCCTACTTTGACTACGAAGAAATAAACTTCTCTTCATTAAAACCATCCGCTTGTGGTATTTCTGTTGTAGCAGCACTAGATGACTAAGACACACACCATGTCACATCTGGCTCTCTTCTCCCAACCTGGCCCAAGCTGCACCTCTGGCAGTGGAATCGGCTAAGCAGGGAGATCTTTGGGAGCAAGAAGAAACCCTTGACAAAGAGCTCCAAAACCATTGCTTCTTCAGTCTCCCAGCTGCAACCTGTGCTTTCTTGCCTTCTTTGCTGCTGATCTTTTCAAGATTTGGGCACACCCAGGCCCCCAGTCACCTCATTCCCCTTCTAGAAGCCCTTGACTCCCCACTCCCTCCAGAGCAAAGCCCAAGTCCCTCTTCTCAGTCTAAGCTCCCCCTCTGCCTCCTCACCACCTGCTCCTTCTCCGCAGGGCCAGCCCAAGTAGTTCCCAGCCCCCGGACCCTCCAGGCCTGCCCAGACCACCCTCACTCTCACCCTGTGGAGCAGGTATCATGATTCCCATTTTATAGCCAAGGAAATGAGTCCAGGAAGGATAAGGGCCTTTTTCCATGGCTCTCCATCAAATTAGTTTCGGACTGGGCACTTCAGAACTGGTTTTCCAATTCCCAGGCCAGCAGACTTCCTCCTGCTCCACGCCACAGCCTCCCAGATACAATAACCTATTCGCAGTGCTCCCTGTTCATGGGGCGCTTCAGAATTCATCACCTGCACATGGGAAACAACTCCGAAAAAAAAGAAAGCCTTCGCTCTTTGTTGTTGGGGCTCTGGGGAAGACAAAAGGGGAGCAAACAGGGGCACAGTGGTTTCAAGGAGTTGAAAATACCTGGTAAGAGGGTAGAATTTGGGGAACGAGTAATAGGAAATATTGTTAACACCCTGCTCACTCAAAATGAGGCTAAATTCACCTTTCCGGGTAAACAAGTGGCACAACAAATTTCACAAACCGTGTGCCCCTGGCATGGGTCAAGGCACTCTTGCAACCACGAGGCTATGAGAACCTAATGCATGGGGTTGCAAAATCCCATTAATAAAGATGGGAAACAACCAGAATTATCCAGTTTAAGACTGGAGTTAAGAGTTTGGGCAACAAAGGATAAAATAGCTGTTGGCAGACACGTTCAACAGGCCATTCTAAGAAGCTGTAATTCACTGATTGACTCAAGTGTAACACAAACCCAACAGCATTCCTGCGGACCCCTTGAGGGCTCCGAAGGCATTTTAGAGTTTATTACCTCTCATTATGAATATCAGTTTGCTTTCTCCAGTGCTTCCAAACGAATTCTGTGATAAGATACATTTGAGATCTTCTGGCTACAGGATGAATGGGCAATTGCTCGACATTATTGGGCACCCTTTGCTAGCCTTCCTGCCGAGAGTGCACTGAGAATTGTGCAGATGCGGCCTTCCGCTAAAGAAGAGGTCAGTCTCAAGTGCCAAAACAAGCAAGGCCACTTTTAAGCACCTAGGAAAAAATCTTCCACTTTTCCTAAATATTCTGCTTTGTAATTTGAGACTCCTAAAACAATGACATGAGGAGCCCTGGTGGCTAGA